GTAACCAAAGCGCTCGATTATTTGATTAATACGGTAAAAAGGTTTTGGACTGTTTTGTATTTCATACAAATGAACTGTTTTCTGGTTTCCTCACGGGTTGCTCAGAAAAACATTTCAGTATCATACATCTGACATTCTTAAACTCGTCAATAACAACTCCGTCTACAGGGATTTTTAAGAACATATAAGATACACCAAACTGATGAAGCAAGTAATTAAAATTAACTGTCAAGCATAAAGATGGAAGGCAAATCACTGATTCGAGAACAGTGGAACAGGTGGGTAAAACACTTTGAAGAACTCTTAAATAGACCAGACTCACTGAAACCACTAGACATCGAAGCAGCATACACAAGCCTCTCTATAGATGTCAACCCACAAACAATAGGAAAAATCAGCATAGCCACCAGACAAATCAACAGTGAAGAACCAGCAGCATCAGACAACATACAAGCTGAAGCACTGACGTCAGACATAGAAGTAACTGCAAACCTGTTACACATCCTATTCAAGAGGATTTAGGAGGATGAACAAGTGCCGATAGACTGGAAAGTGGGATACCTCATCAAAGTAGCAGAGAAAGGTGACTCAGTAAGTGTGAGAACTACAGAGCTACCACACTACTATCAGTATCAGGAAAAGTTTTCAACAGTGTTGTTGAACCAGACGAAAGATTCAGTGGACTCTCAACTTCGAGAACAACAGGCCGGATTCCGTAAGGATCGATAGTTTACAGACCACATCGCGACACTATTGATCATTGTTGAACAATCAAGTGAATAGAACTGGTTACCATATATCAATCTTCTTAACTATGGTAAAGCATTTGATAGTGTGGATAGGAGAATCTTGTGGAAACTTCTTCGACACTACGGTGTACCTGAGAAAATTTTCACCATCGTACGGAATTCTTACGACAGATCACACTACAAATCGTGTATGTAGGCCAGCTCAGATATGCAATCCGAGTAAAGATCGGCGTTAGACAATGATATTCACTCTCTCGTTCTTTTGGTGATTGACTGGATAATGAAGGCCTTCACATCTCAGGCGAAGCACGGAATATGATGGACAGCTTGGATGCAGCAAGTCGATTTCAGTTGGTTAGTCACATCGTAAAACCAAACACTTAAATGCATCAGTCCAAGTAGCCATACCTCATGAGCACAACAAGACGGACATCAAATTCATATAAGTAGTCACTTCAATGGTAGAAATGTACAAAAGAAAGATTGTATGTAAGGATATAGTACAGGAAGAAAGAATTAGTTTGTAAAAAGAAAGATATGAATCGATTTTAATCTCATAGTTTAAACGAAGACAAAGAGTGTATACACCGACTCCATTGTGATCGATTCTGAGCCATGTCACCCACAGTCTCCAACCATTGGTTACGATAGCCACACAGACCCCAACCAAATAGTCTGCATCTACCAAAATGGCTCAGATTACAAGTTAGTGATTTCAAGCACTGATGCCACGTTTTGGTTTGACCGCCGCTAACGTTCTTCCAACCATCCCCAACACTATTCAGCATTGCGCGTCGTGGTAGTCGGAGTTCAGTCATACGTAACACGTGGCCCAACCATCTCAGTCGATGGAGATTCACAATCTAACCAACTGATTTACCATCATCCCCTAATACCCTGAGTCTAAACTCACTATTACTTACCAGTGATCCCAGCAGATGTGAGCAATATCTCTAAGACATCTGTGATCAAATACTAGTGGCTTACGAGTATCTTGTACTCTTAATGGCCACGTTTCGCAGACGTAAATTAGGACAGAACGAACTACCGTGCGATATACTCGTCCTTTAATTAAATAGATGAATATCTCGCCTTCGCCATAGATGATGTAAGTTGGAAGAGCCAAGCGAGCTTTATGAATCCGTGTAGAGATTTCTTCAGACACTAGCCCATTAAGGTTGATCAGACTTACAAAATAAGTGAAGTTGTCGAAGCGTTCGACTACTTCATCACTGCCTATCCGTAATTTAGGTGTTGACAAGGGTCAGTCCTCAATCAACAACTTGCATTTAGAGGGGAGAAACGCATCCCAAACATACTGGAATTGTTGCTCAGTGCCCCCAACAGACTCTGCAATTTATCAGCGTCTTCACCAAACAGGACTATGTCGTCTGCGTATTCTAACTCGATAAGTGGACCTTCTGGTAGAAAATAAATTCCTGAAAATCCAGACGGCGAGAACGTTGTTTCCAACAGTAGGTCTATGATAAAATTAAACACAAATGGAGATAGTGGACAGCCTTGCCAGATACCACTTAAGGTTGCAAGATCAGATGACAGTTTTCCATAAGCTCTGACTCAACTGGTAGTGTTCGGGTAAAGAGCCCTCATAATGTTTATGTGCTTCTGAGGTACACCATTCAATGGCAGGCACTGCCACAGAACCTTTCAGTCTACAGGGTCCAATGCTGCTTTCAAGTCAAGAAAGACCACCATGTTGTAGAAATCCGCTGGGTCCCAGTGATCTTTTGGTTCAAATCACTAACAGATGCCGCTGCTGTTTCTACAGCTGCTCGTATATCTTTCCAAGCAACATCTGAGTCAGCATTGTTTTCAGAACAAACTAAGTGTGACCTCAGTTGTTCATGGAATTCAGCTTGGGCTTTCCCATCACTGAGTCCAACTCTAATGAGTCTTCTTAATGTGACTTTCATGCGTCCAGTGAGGAGCAAGCAAATCCTTGCTCCTATTAGGGCATGATCAGAGTCTAAACATGTATTCGAGAACGAGTGGCAGTCTTCTAACGAACCTCTTCAACTATGCCTGATGGTAATATGGTCTATTTGAGTTCATCGTTGGTTTATTGCAACTTGCAGTGTAGTTTGGAGCGATGTCTCAGTAGACTTGGGTCAGTATTTTGAGCACTATAATTAATGGCCTTGGTAACACTTTGTGGGAAGCATTTATTTGACTTCATTTGAACACATAAATATTGGTACAAAGGGGCACCAAACACAATGAAAATGAGGCCAGTAGTAGTTATCATTGATTTATGTAAGAGTTGGGATACTACATTGGTACCCAAACCGAAGTAGGTGGTTTTCTTAGAAAGCTACGACCAGTACCTTTGACCTGAAGGTCTAACCCACAAGGCAGTGAAGAAGCGTAAGGAGATGCAGTCCCATGGTAGCCAGTAGCCAACGACTGGTCCCTACGTCATTTGCTCCTTAGGATACTGGAGCCCATGTGCACCATTAGTTTGGAATTAGGGCTTTCCAACTCCCCTAGGTGGACCCTCCATGCCCTGGTACGGCCGAGAGACAGGAGGGTCAGCTCTCTCGCTCGAAATGCCCTCACATGGCCATGCGTACACAGCCACTGCCGGGGAAGTCCTACTCAGTGCCTTCTCGTGGCGGCGGTGTAGTTTGCAAAATTAAGAGAACGAAAAGTGAATGTCCGGAGCTTTAACCGGGTTGTGGGAAGGCAATATCGCTGTTATGCTGGTTGTCTAAAAGGAACACCTTAATGCCAACACAACTCTGTACAGTCAGCAGTACGACTTTGTCCTCTGTCCTTGGGTTGCTGTTTTTAGTATTACCGTTCTTCAACCGATCTGTCTAGCATGGTAGGACCTTGAGTAACGATTATTCCAGCCAGTATAACCCGATCGGTCCATCACGACAGGCAAGCCCAACGACCATGCCAAGATAGCAGCAATGGTCGGGAGCTAGACAATTTGGACTTTGCAGGTGACCTAGCGCTTTAATCTTATACACAACAACAAATACAGGCGAAGTCAGTCTGTGTTTCAGTAGCCTCTGCAACAACAGGACTCAACATATACAATAGGTAAAACAAGATTTTGAAATACAACCCAGCGAGCAACAACCAAATCACACTTGATGGGGAAGCTCTGGAAAATGTGGAAACGTCCAAATATCTGAGCAGCGTCATCGATAGGCAAGGAGGGTCTGATGCAGATATGAAGGCAAGGATTGGAGGAGCAAAGAGAAGCATTTCTATAACTGAAGAACAAATGAACCCAAAATAACTTTCAGCCAATACCAAAGTCAGAATCTTTAATACAAACATCTGTTGTACGGAGCTGGAACTTAAAGAACTACCACAATCATCAAAAAGTACAGGAATTTATAAATAATTGTATGCGCAAGATACTCCATATACGTAGGTCGGATATCATCAGCAACAACCTACTGAGGGAGAGAACAAACCAGGTTCCACCCGAACAATTTAGGAAAAGACGTTGGAGGTGGTTAGGACATAAATTGAGTGAATCATCAAATTGCATCACGAGGCAAGCGTTGACTTGGAATCCTGAAGGGAAGAAAGAGGAATATCAAGGATATCAAAAGGATGAATAGCAACTGGAAAGGACTGAACAGGATTGCCCAAATCAGAGTTAGATGGAGAATCCTGGTCGGCGGCCCATGTTCCTCCTCGAAGGGTAAAAGGTGTAAGTGAAGTGGAGAATCATATATATCAATAAACATTGGTTAACGTTTGCCCTTATGATCACTCACCGTTTTAAGCAATCCCTGGAGTACAATTTCAGCTTTATGCAAATTTTGACTTTCGAAGTTTATATTACGATTAGTAGCAGTCCCAGAATTGACATGCCACCAAGTGACAAAATAATCAATGTAGAGTGGAGCTAAATGATCTAAAATAGCTGATCGTGATGCTGGACATGTTTTCAAGAGCAAATTCACTGTCTCATTAAGACATTCCCACTCAACTGAAGATTTTTGAAAGGAATTCTGTGATGCAGGTGTAACACTGCTACCACTTCCACTCGAATTTGACGCCAAATATGGCCCACTATTACCACCAACAGAAGTAGCAGGGGTAGAACAGGCTGATATAAATCGTTTCCAATGACTTACTAGTGAAGACATGTTACTTTGATGGCAAAATGAATATTTATATCCCCCTTCATAAAAAAGAAAACAGCAAGCAGACACTAACTGAACGGTTATAAAGTCAACAAAATTACAAAGAAGATGAAAATTTACAGAGAAAAAAGTGCATTTATTTTCACTTTGTTATGTACAACATATATATATATATATATAATAAATTGCTTCGAGATCTTATTTTTATATATAATATGTACGAAACATTAAGTAGACTTTTAAAGTTCTTCGGCAGTATAGTACTCAGATTCAAATAACGATGTTACACATTCTTCAGGCAATACTGGCGTCAACATACATGGCCACCTCTCATTACAATCGCCTACAGATTTAGTAAAAGCATTAGCAATATATAACTTTTTAAATTTAATTAAACGTTGATCTAATAATTCATTTAAATCATTGTTAGTAATTAGTTTTTGATGAATCATTTCCTCTTGCATACGATTTTCCGTTAAACTATCAAAAAACATTGAAGTGAATCCTAATGCATTTTGATCCTCATATTTTAATTTGTCACCTTGATCATAATCCCATATTGATTTTAAATCACTTAATAACCATTTTGAGTATTCCATTGAACTATTATTAAATGATTCTGATGTATTTAAGCGACGCTTCAAAGTGAAATAATCATTATTATTAGTATTACTATCAGTGGTACTTTCCTCTCCAATAGACTCGTTATTCAATTTATTTGTAACACTTTGTCTCCGTTCAGAAACAATATTGTTTAGGTTTAAAGTGCCTGTATGATATTTGAGCTCCGACTGTTTGTATAACTTTGCATTCTCTTCAGAATTTTTAACATGCTGTTTATTCTCAGGTTCGCAACTAAGTTCAGATAACCAATTTGTAATAATTGTTTGACTTTTGACTTGATAGCTCTCTACAATGTCATAATCATTAATATTAATACCATCTGATGTCAGATAAGCACAATAATCGAATAGATCTCCATATGGTGTGAGTAACAATGTATGAAATTGTTTTTTTGTATCGTCTGGTGAATAATGTGTTGTAATTCCGCAAATAGAACTTTGTAAACGTCGCTTAAGCAGTGAATTTTGATTGTAGAATTGAAAGAGATCATTAGATCGAAATGATGAAACCAAACTTGTTAGTGGCGTCCCGGATAGACACGGGCCAATATACTGGGGACCTGAGAAAGAATTGAAATCCAATCCAAATGTAGACATATCTGCGGGGTATTGAGAAGTCATAGAAATAAGAAATTGTGGGATATCATGCGTTGAACGATAATGCTTATCTATTTCGGTCCAAGTAAGATACGCCAACGGTTTTGTAAGATTATGAGACCAATGTAATACAGTTCGATTAGGCATACGTTTATCCAGTAGAACCATACTATAGTAACCACCAGTTAAAACATATACATCACCGATCCACTTAGGTGGGGAATATGTTATATGATCATTTGAATTTAATAAAGACGAGCGTTCTGAAGTGTTGAACAGTTGGTAAGCACATGATGGTGCTGTACGGGTGTCAAAAATTAGGATACGACGTGTGGTTGTCAGACACAATTCACCCGGATAACTTCCAAATCCTACACGTAACCAATGATAATTGGGATAATGCTGGTGTAGTAGATGTTTCCGTGATGTACATGTACAATAAGATTCAATATCTGATTGAACCGGATCTTGTTTATATGACGATGATGCTATACTTTCCAAACACAATGAGTTTTCCTTTGTTATATTTTCCATATAATTGCCTAGATTTACGTGACCAGACCACATAGGAAGTCGAGTATCTTCTGAATTATACAACCGAATACTAGCTCTACGATCCTTTTTTCCGTCCAGATAATTACCGACCATACACCATTCCCCTGGAATCCATCGACTCATGCATATACTAGTAACATAATTACTTGATGACATACGTATTAAACTAACGTTCTCAATACATGAATTAGACATGTTCGGTTCGTTTATCTTAATTTGCATACGAACAACATTTGTCTTACTGCCCGGTGTTGGTAATAAACGACCGACTATATCGATTTTCTCACTTGACTCACTAAAAGATGCATCAAGCTCACAAAATGATCTAGATGAAAGTTTTGTCAATGGAATGGGAATAACTGAAAAACGATTTGATTCATGAATATTAGTTTTCAACAGATTCGATGTTTTGCCAATACAGAAGGAATTTGTTTGAAGTGAATGCCATAAAAGTATGTCAGAATGATTTGTAGACGACTGATAGTTATGTGCCCTTACATTGCATAATAAACCATTCCCGAGATAATTCGGATTTACAATTCGACTTGCTAATCTGATAACTAATGGATCAAAAGATGCTAATAGCCTACTATAGTCAGATTCAAGTGTTAAATTATCTGACCCACACAATGTTGTCGATGATGACGATATGGATGAGGACAATGATGAGTGAGCTGGATAGAGAAGTCTACCAATAGTACAAGGTAGTAACTGTTCTGATTTCCCAGATGCACTAATATCAACACCTTCACTAATTTCGACAGCGGTAGCCTTTGTCGCTTTGGATGGCTTTGTTGTTAGCCGGCGTCGTTTTGTTGACGGCTGGTTATTACCAACAATAGCAGTCCCGGAGGTAGAATTCGGATTAAGTGACGATAATAAAGATCCAGGAAAAGAATCTGTTGATTTTGTTCCTGAAACAATTAATTTTTGTATTCTTTTAATTAATTTATTCTGTGAATCGACTGAATCACAGTCATTCAATCCTTTTTCAGACATATCAAACAACTGTTCAATAAAATTATGTGAAATATTATTGTATTTTGCATCGGCGACAATAACATCATCATTTCTCCCATTGATGTCATGACTGATTTGCATAAACTTGAAAATATTGGCACGTAATAATCCTTGGAGTTTACCACATAAAAATGCTGCACACGCCTGTTCACCTAGAATATAATCGTTCAACAACTGTTCATAACCGTAATCCCGAACAGTAGATGAATCGACCAGTTTTTTATTTTTTCCTCTTTCTTCTCCTTCGAGTTGTTGATCATAATTAAACGAAGATTTATTAGTTCCTGATAATGAATATGAGTAGTGTGTTGGTAATAAAGGAACAGGGTTATGAAAATATTGAAGTTTACCAACCAGCTTCGTGGACATTTGACTTTCAATCTAGATGAAGAGAATATACATTAAAATATCACAAAATTGTCTGACCGTAATCACACATAAACAGGTATTCTAGACTGTATGCTTTACCGATTATTTGACATTACGAATGGATAAATGTTAGACCGCCATTGAAAACCTGGAAGCACTGGACGGCCGTTTCGTCCTAGGATGGGAACCGTGAGCAGTGCGCATCCGCGATCACGCACACAGGACTCGAACCCAGTCAGTCAAAACATGTAAAGATATGGGGAAATTGTTCTCCTAGATATAATGTCTTGCTTTTATTTGTTTGGAAGAACCTTTTAAAGAATGAAATACTCAGAAAGTATCGCGATTGATTTTATTTATTTGAACACATCAACACTGGTACGAAAAGGCACCAAACACATATGCGCCACACAATGACAATGAGGCCAGTAGTAGTTATCATTGATTTGTGTAAGAGTTGGGATACTACATTGGTACCCAAACCGAAGTAGGTGGTTTTCTTAGGAAGCTACGACCAGTACCTTTGACCTGAAGGTCTAACCCACAAGGCAGTGAAGAAGCGTAAGGAGATGCAGTCCCATGGTAGCCAGTGACCAACAATAGGTTCATACGTCATTTGTCCCCTCAGGATCCTGGAGTTTATGTGCACCACTGGTTTGGAATCAGGGTTTTTCAACTCCCATAGGTGGATCCTCTATATTCACCAACCCGGTTAACGTGCCGGACATTTGCCGGTGCTTTAACCGGGTTGGTGGCCATGGAAATATTATCAAAGACGTGTTTACCGAATTATAATTTAGAATAAAAGGTCTAATTAACACAGTATTTCCATTTCACGACAATCACCTATTACAGTGTCACATTTGAATCCGTTGTATTTGAAGGCATTGACAATGAACTTTATTGTATTTATAGTAATATTGATAAAAAAAATTAAATGCTGTAAAATGTCTTGTACGTTAAATCCCTACTTACTCAATATTTATAGAGTCAACGAGATATCTATGAAGCTGATCAGCTTGATAAGAATAAACAAAAAGCACAAAATTATCCTGAGTATATCATTTACCAACTGCAGAACGCAATAAGTTACCTGGAATTTATCGGAGACATGACTTATGCTAACAGCACCAGTACGAGCCCAGTCGGCAACAAAAGAACGACCGTAGCCATACATTTCCTGGTTAACAGGCGGTCTGTTGATATGATTGCAGCGGTGTGTATTTATATTCCACCATTCTGTATAGTATGTTCGGGGTACTGTGAAGTCCATTATGTAAACAATATATATTTTGCAAAGGTCGCCAAACCGTTATTTTTAGGTGGCTTGAAAAAAACACATTTAAGAAACCCCGTATTGGCAAACCGTCAATTTGATCTAAATAACAAAATGACAAGAAACCCCAAAAAATAACGCAAAAAGTATACAGGAAGCACTGACACGAGACGTTTCAAAACATGACTGCAAAACAACTTCAAATTTAGACCTGAAGACTGAGCGGAAGTGATCATATACACCAATTCGGTTTGGGCGGTAGGGCTAAAAAAAGAAATGTAAAGCTGACGAGATACTAGTCAACAGCGCCCAACGATGTCTTGGAGGATGAGCAGAGTTCCTAAAGAGACAGTTCATCTAGTCTGCCGCTCAAAACATCAGACTCTTAATCTCAACGGCCGGTGATGACTGTTCTACCTGACGATGCCAAAGTCCGAAAGAAACTTCAACTTCCGAACCACCGTGAGTTACCAGGTTCACAGATCATCCAAGACCCATGAAACATTGACTTGCAAGGAGTAGTCTGGAGTTCATTCTGGTCGTGAATTCATTGGTTATACATACATCCCCTACCAAATGTGAAAGCACAGCTATGCTGATTACAGGCCAACAACCATTTTGTTTTTTGATACCAGTCTCTCCACTGATTCGTTAAACAGAATAGCACTCTGGAATTGTCTGTTAAAGAAGGCTGTACATGAGAAGTTGATTAACATGTTGAACGCTATACGAACAAACACCTCAACCAGAGTGGGAGCATGCGACCACTTCTGCTGTTCAAGCAGTTACATTAAGGAGGGTTGCTCAATCTCTTTATTCATCCTCAACTTCATTATCGATGACATTCTGGAAACATCTCTAGTGAAGATAAGTAATGGTGGTGTGGAACTATTTCCTAGAGAAAGATTTCCCGATCTTCAACCATGATGATATTGTCTTACTGTGCGAAGATATTTAAGCCATCCAATCAGCACTTAATCAGGTGGCAATCAGTGTTCGTAGGTATGGCATGTGCTTTGGGCCTTCTAAGTGCAAGTACTTTTGCAAGATAGACAGCCGCCTGTGTCTGCACTCAGTCCTATTGATAAACAATTAGAAGTAATCAGAAAGTTCGTGTATCTGATTAGTTGTACGAGTGCTAGTGGTGGCGTGACTGGTGAGATCGTTCTACGTATAAACACAACACCATGTTATTAATGCAGAGGTTTGGCAACGTATGTTCGGGCAAAATGACTTCAATTGGCTTCACCATCCTGAAACATCGACCACGATGGCTCGGACATTTGATACGAGTATCCAAACTGTGCTCTATTTCTGGGACGTTTGGACCGATTGAAAAAAGTGGAGAAGCGGTTGGTTTATGTGGCATGGTCCCGAGGTATGAAAGAGATCTGTACAGGATTGACATCTCTCAGTCCATCACAACCTCCTGGTTGGGGTCTGAGAGATGGTGCAACACAGTGGGTTAAGACGTTAGCAGATATGACTCACAATATGAGCCAGTAGCGGTTCTGAGGTAATTCTCTTCTACTTTTTCACAAAGCAATGAAAGTTGCGTCACCTGGAAGGATTGTTATTCAAATCACGAACCTAAGTTAGACAACCACCGAAAACTTGGGAGCACCATATGAGCGTTTCGTCCTAGTATAGAACTCTTGAAGTGCGTATCCACAACCTCGAGACCGGAAACAGAACCCAGTTTTAGCAAGAAAATACTTAACCCCTCGACCCCTGAGTCGTGGTTCAATGATGTGCAAGTATAACTTCAAGCTATTAGCGACATTGCGCGACCATCTTGCACTACCTTTTGCGTATACATTACTCACACTGGTCACAATTTCTCACTGCGGTGAAACGGCTGTTCAGTGCTCCCACGTTTTCAATAGTTGTCGAATTTAGGTCGATTAGTGATCCCAATAGGCACTGAACAATCGTCACTACATACTGAAAGAATTGCTTCTGGTTGTATTTTCTAATTAACCCGTCTCATCCAATATGTGAAACTATCAATTACGCGTCTCTAGATTAACGGAAAAAGTCGTGTTGCCCTTGGATCTGAGAATATCATTCAACAACAATGAAAATAAACAACTTTTTAGAACTCTTTAGGGACCAATACGACACATATATTTTTATTGTATACTTGTTAAGTAGCTAAACCATGCATATTCATGTTCCTCCTATTATACGCTTTATTTTGACCCATGAACTATTATTATGCGATTTACCGTTCTTGAGTTATGCTCAGTCTATTAATTAGTCTCCCACATTCACAGCCACTTTTGGCTACATCTTGTAGAAATGTTATTTTCTATTTTATGATACAATGTGGTCTGTTCGGTTTGGATATAAGCCCAGTATGTTCGAAATACATGATTCATACCGCAGAGGCTGAGATTGGTGTTCTGGACTCAAAAGACAGGGCTAGGCAAGAAGAAGAACCGACAAGGACTCTAGAATGCTCGTACGGGTTTACGTGTCATCGGTCCGATTGATAAGTCACTGTTCTCTAATTGGTGGTATCATTACGTCATGTATTAATAGCGCACAAGGCCACGGGTTTTAACAGAGGTGAGGCATGAAATCTCAAACGTCGACGGTCAGTTGCAAACACGATTGTTCAAAGCTTGTTTTGCCCTCATTTTACATAAATCCAAAGTTCTGAAAGTCATTTAATCAAAGCTGCTTGGTGCCATAGTCTTATCGACGTAAATAAACCAATGTCCCACACAACCAACACTTACTCCGAGAAACCAGTTGTTAATTACCATCACAAATTATTCCTTACTATCCCGACTACTTAGCACTAAGTGTGTAGTATTACACTCCCCCATATATATTGCCCAAGTCAGGTACATATGTATCTGAGCACATGCTAAATTGCCCGATAATAACTAAGTCCGCACGTCCCATTATTCCGACTAAAATGAACTTGCAGATAACAGATGAAAACTATGGACTGGACAAATCTATGATCATCACTGACTTTTTTCGGTGTAATGTTGAATACAATAACAAATAAATGGTTAAACTCTCATTTTCGCTTCCCAGCCGACAGACGTAAATTGTGACAACCGTCAACCATATACTAAATTCATACAATTAAGTCACACTGTAAACATCAACATTAACAAACAACAAACCAAAGAAAACATAAACCGTCCATGACAATATGACGAAATAATTGCCAAGGTCACTGCTCAGTCCTCAAGTGGTTCAAATGGTTGTTGTCGAATGGATTTCGCTTAACGGGCTTCCGTGTCTAGTGGCAGTGGGTCGCTAATAACTCCAGACAAGAACCCAGGTGTATTATCGGTAAAAGAGGAAAAAGAAAAATCGGCTGGCTCTAAATGGAGACGAATGAAACTGTTGAAGATTGTGTGTAACGTCGTTCCATGAAACCGGCCAAAAATGTGCTTCAATGTTACCAGTGCAAGGTTCGCTCGAAAGGCATTTAGGTCACAGTTAGCATAAGACTTTAAATCGTAGGGTACCATTACTCGTAAATCTCTTTCAACTTGGGATACTTCTAGAGAGGAGTTTCCTAAATTGTAACCGTAGTCTGCAACATGTTTCAGGTGGACTACATTACACTATGAGGTGTTAAAGGTAAGTCTGTTGTCATCTGCCCAACTTTGAAGTCGAGTCAGATCTATAGCGACTCACGTGCAATTGAGTTTAGTTCAGTCAAGGTCGTTTATTGACCTATTTAATGGACAAAGTCATCCATGCTATAACAACTTGTTGTTCTGTTATTATTATTGTGCTTGTATGAAATACATATGCTTGAACATTGCTTACCGCCTACGCATGTATTCATTCTGCTAGCTTCATTATTAACTACTTAATCTATTCGCTGACTCATCCATTTTCCTATATATATATATATATACATATATATATATATATATATATATATATATATATATATATATATATATATCTGTTAAAAAACTGTAGTAGCTGCTTCCTTTTGCCTTCCGATTTCAAACATCGTTGAAGATTATACGATAACGGTTTATAGGACTTGAAAATTATTTTCTCGCTAACCGCATTCTCTTGCAAAATGATAAATTCGGCCTCACAAGCACACTACTCCCAGACGAAGTAGCAGACAGCGTTCGAGAGGCATTAGCAAAGCCAGACACTGAAAACCATACGACGTGCTAAAAGAGGCAGTAATTAAAACTCTCTCTCAGTGACCAACAAGCGGTTAAACAGCTCCTTAACCAAGTACAAATTTGAGATAGAACTCCGTCACAACTAAAAAATTATATGATAAGTCTACTTGGCGATAGGCACATTGACAGTAACCTCTTTTATCAACTGTGGCTCCGCCGACTCCCGGCAAATATACAGCAGATCCTAGTTGTGTGAGATACGGACGCTGATTTAGACAATAAAGCAAAGATAGCTGATAGAATATACGAAAGAAGCAAGCCCTCCACCACACAACGTGACGGTAGACGGTAGACTTGATACTCTACAGAGAAAAATTAATGTTTTATGCCGCAAACTCACATAATTAACGCAGAGAGAAAAGCCACGAAGGTCATCGCGAGATCGCTCGCGTGAAAGAAACCGGTCAACTTCTAGACGACGCACAAATGTTCGGCTACAGGGCTAGAAAGTGCCTGCAACCTTGTAGATTTAACAGGGCTATTAACCGATACCCACGAGTATCAATGGCAACGGCATCAACGCATATAATGCCTGAAAATAGTCGCCTCTTTTATATACAAGACCGAATCACTGGCCTACAATTCTTAGTTGACACTGGAGCGGAAATTAGCGTAGTACCTCCATTTAACGAGGAAAGGAAAAACATTAATCCGTCATTAGTGCTAAGAGCAGCAAACAAATCAGATATTAAGACATATGGCAAACGGAAATTGTCCCTAGATTTTGGACGTGGCGCTTCATACCGCTGGAGCTTTGTCATAGCGGACGTATCGATGCCCATAATAGGCATAGATTTCTTATGTAACTTTGACCTGCTAGTAGACTCTCGACGACACAGACTTATAAACGGCAGTCAAACCACTTCGATAACAGGAATACTTACGAAAGCCGTTTCAATGAACTTTGTGATAGATAAAAGTCGTGATGATCCATATAAATTGTTGTTAAAGGAGTTCCCTGAACTCGTAAAAGTAACATACAATGAAGCGGATCTCAAACATTCTATTCAGCATCACATCGTAACGAATGGTCCACCAATCAATGCAAGACCAAGAAGGCTAGATCCCAAAAGACTAGCTATCGCAAAACAGGAATTCAACAAGCTAATGAGGCTAGGCATTATAAGGCCATCGAGCAGCCTGTGGGCATCCCCGCTATATATGGCCTCGAAAAAGAATGGAGAAGGTAGGCCATGTGGAGATTAAAGAGCACTGAACAAATAAACAGTAGCTGACAGATACCCTATACCGCACATTCATGATTTCACCTACAGTATAGAGGGCATTACTATCATCTCGAAGATCGACTTAGTCAGAGCATACTACCACATCCCTGTTGCCCCACAAGACATACCGGAGACAACAGTAACAACCCCATTTGGGCTATATGAATTCCTGCGTATGCCTTTTGGACTGACTAACGCGGCACAAACCTTTCAACGGTTTATCGATCAGGTCATTAGAGGTTTACCTGGGGTATACGCATATATCGACGATTTATTAGTAGCTAGCACCACTAAAGATGAGCATATACAACAACTAGGGCAATTATTTATACGACTCAGAGAACATGGTATTTCTATAAACATTGAGAAGTGTGAATTCGGAAACGAATCTTTACAGTTCCTAGGTCACAATATAACTTCTCAAGGCATCACACCAATAGCAACAGAAGTCGACGCTATTAGGAATTATCCTCTACCCGACTCATGGAAAAAGTTACGCAGATTTCTCGGGTTAATAAATTATTACGGACGATTTATTCCGAATTGTGCGTCAATATTGCAACCATTAACAGACGCGTTACGCGGACACGCACGGACATTCCAATTATCACCAGACGCGATTCAAGCATTCAAGAACGCTGAAAAAGCACTAACTAAAGAACCGACACTAACCAGACGAACGAGTGAGACACCATTAGCTATCATGACGGATGCATCGGACGTGGCGGTAGGAGCCGTTTTACAACAATTAGTAAATGGCATATGGGAACCGCTCTCATTTTTTTCGAAAAGACTGAATCCGACACAAACAAGATACAGTATTTTCGAAAGAGAACTCTTACCAATTTACTTAGCAATTAAACACTTCCGTTATATGGTCGAAGGCATAAATTTTACCGTCTATACAGACCATAAACCATTAACGAAAGCGTTAAGTGCAAAGCAAGACAATTATTCACCGAGAGAGATCCGACAGCTAGAGTTCACTTCACAGTTCACGTCCGACACACAGTACGTTAAAGGACAAGAAAACGATGTGGCCGACGCATTGTCAAGAGCAACGATAAGCACACTTATGGCAAGTGGGATTGATTACAACGGTCTGGCAAAGTTACAGGAGAGAGACATCGAGTTAAATAAACTCAGATCCGGTGGTACAACATCATTAGTACTCGAAGAGGTGCGGTTCGGCAACACGAAAGTAATTTGTGATACATCAACAGGCCAACCGCGACCATTTATTCCGAAAACGTTGCGACAGAAAATATTCGAAGGCATGCACAACATGTCGCACCCAGGAATAAAAGCCACGATAAAGCTGATCAGCGAACGATTTGTATGGACAAACATGAATCACGATGTACGTAATTGGACACAAGCATGCATGAAATGCCAAAACGTCAAAGTACATCGGCATACTAGCTCTGCAGTGAGTCCGTTTTCACACCCAGACACTAGATTTGAACATATACACATCGATATTGTAGGACCACTGCCTGTTTCAAATGGATACAACTATATCTTTACATGCATCGACAGGTTTACACGATGGCCGGTAGCAGTACCGATAAAAGACACCTCAGCTGAAACGGTAGCCAAAACCCTAGTTGAAAATTGGATTTCTTACTACGGTGTTCCAACGGTTATCACAACTGATAGAGGAGCACAATTCGAAAGTCGACTCTTTCAACAGCTTACAGAACTCTTCGGTATTAAACGAATTCGAACGACATCGTACCATCCAATGGCAAACGGAATGGACGAACGCCTACATAGGCAATTACAGCCTTACAGCCGTCATTGTTAACAACGATTGGTCTAATAAACTTCCTCTAGTAATGTTAGCTCTAAGAGCAACAATTAAGCAAGACATTGGATGTTGTTCAGCCGAATTGGTATACGGAACTACTCTACGGTTACCCGGAGAATTTTTCACTCCAAGTAAAGGTGTTCCGACTGATGTAACCGGCTATGTGCAACTCCTGAGAAAGCACATGAGCGACTTAAAAATAACACCTCCCAGACCACAACGACGACGAGTATTCATACCACAAGAACTGCATAACAGCACACACGTATTCATTAGAAGAGATAAAGTACAACCACCTCTACAACCGAGTTACGATGGCCCATTCAAAGTGATAGAGAGGACGAATAAAGCGGTTACCACAGAGAAAACTGAGAAGACAGATGTAATTAGCATCGATCGAGTAAAGTCAGCTTTTATCGATAGCGATATTCAATCAACAAGTACAAACTCCTCTAAGATGGTCACACCAGCAAAACACGAGTCCCAAGGACCAACGACCTTAACGCAACAAAAAGACAAGACTCCGATAACAACAAGATCTGGCCGCAGAGTAAGATGGCCCCAACAATATGTCGCTACGATTTTTTATTAATGATCTACTATTTTAAATATTAATTATATCTTCCACTTCATTGTATACACACGCATTATTAAGCTCATGTTATACGCTATAACACTCAACGTATCTTATGTACCCTAACACTTATTCGTATAATTTTTGTTTAAAATGTAAAAACAATACCGCATTCCTTCTATTTCTTGCTATTATTTCATTTATCCTCACGGACATGCACAAACCAAATATACAGCATACGCTAACTTCATCCTTATTTGTATAAGTCTTTTTTCAAACGCTTGTAACTACAATATTCAGTTTACCATTTTTCGTGCAAACACAAACATTTACCAGTATGTCTTTGTTTGCAAGGGGGTACATTTATAGCGACTCACGTGCAATTGAGTTTAGTTCAGTCAAGGTCGTTTATTGACCTATTTAATGGACAAAGTCATCCATGCTATAACAACTTGTTGTTCTGTTATTATTATTGTGCTTGTATGAAATACATATGCTTGAACATTGCTTACCGCCTACGCATGTATTCATTCTGCTAGCTTCATTATTAACTACTTAATCTATTCGCTGACTCATCCATTTTCCTATATATATATATATATACATATATATATATATATATATATATATATATATATCTGTTAAAAAACTGTAGTAGCTGCTTCCTTTTGCCTTCCGATTTCAAACATCGTTGAAGATTATACGATAACGGTTTATAGGACTTGAAAATTATTTTCTCGCTAACCGCATTCTCTTGCAAAATGATAAATTCGGCCTCACAAGCACACTACTCCCAGACGAAGTAGCAGACAGCGTTCGAGAGGCATTAGCAAAGCCAGACACTGAAAACCATACGACGTGCTAAAAGAGGCAGTAATTAAAACTCTCTCTCAGTGACCAACAAGCGGTTAAACAG